GCATCTTTGGCCGTCTGGTCCCACGATGATCAATCTGTTGGAAAGCCACCACTCACTCACAGTTTCGGTCAAATGCACCTGGATCACAGCAGGATCCGGCAGGCGCCGAAATAATCTCTCCAACTTCTGCAGCTGTCCATCCTTGTCGCGAGTTTCCAGAGTGATGAAGTGTGCGGGTCGTTTGGTCTGCTGGGATAGCAGAACAAAGACGTCTTGGCCCGACATGACATGGCTCAAGTCGATGTCACGATGCTTCCCATCCGAGAAGACCAGCTCCAACGCATTGCGGGAGATCATGTCGGCAATGTAGGTCGATACCTTCACAACAGGAGGGTGGCCGGAGCTTGACAAGTCAGAGTTGTCTTTCAAGACTTTGCCAGTAGCGACTTCAGTCAAGGATAGATCATCAGCCACAATACCAGTTTGGGAAGATGGAACGCAACGCACTCTGGCAAAGTACCGCAGCTTTTCCACATTCACAATTTGGGAAAAACACTTCTCATGCTTCAGGTCCACCAACACGGATGCGAGATCTGATCCCTCAGCTGTCACCAGTTGGAGGGTCTCAAGGCTTGCAAGGTTTGGGGCGAATCGGATCCAGCATTGCTCCACCCCTGGGCTCATCCATTCTAGAGTGCAGCTGGATCTCAGGATGCACTTCCTCAAGGTACTTGGCCGGGTACCTTTGCGCTTGCGTTCCCCAATGGAAAAGTGATCCGGCCCATACTTGTGCTCCGGATCCGCGCGCAAGCGCCAGCTTTTGCCAGTTCCGTCGTCCCAAAACACCCTGCCCTGGTCGATGATGTGAAGGACTGCTGGAGGTAAGGTGGTTGAAGTGGATGGAACCCAGTGGCCATTTAACCGCTCCATCGATGGAACCCAGCTGCCATTTAACCGCTCCATCTGGGGCAAACCGATGTAGCACCGCGGCTTAAGCCCAAACAACTGACCTCGGCACCACCATCAATGGATTGATTTGAGGGACGTGCATTATTGGGGGGGTTTGTGATGCCCTTCTGTAGGTTGCTTGCGAGGAGGATCTACCATGCCATTCATTTGGGGTCAGTTCGAGACACGCCTGCTCCCTCACAACCCTTCGACGGCCTCTCACCCACCTTGCCCATGGATTTGATTCTCCAGGCGCCCGAACTCGCATTGAGCCAGACTCGAGGCGACGGAACTCCGATTCTCCGTCAGAACAGGTCAAGCGTTGGACCAAACTGTACGCCACACTCCTTTTGGTCAAGCCATGGTGTGAACATAAATAGTGGACTTTTGGTTATGGGGATTCATGACAGACTGCTCAACATCAAACTTCTTACACCACCTCCTTTTGGGGTTCTTCCATTTTTCCAACAAGCTCCAGACGTTGAAACCAATTGTACACCCCGCTTGCGTGGCCCATGGCATCTTGGGACTAAAGCACCCCCGAGCGTGTCTGTTGCACCGGGTCGTTCCAATGGAAAGTGCGCAGGAGGGTTGTGGCAGACTGCCATCTTGAACAAGGAATGGGTATCCTTTTTTGGAGTGTTTTTTGGGGAACATCATTTTTGGGGTTCAAACCATTAGGTATGGACAGGAGTGGAAGCCCAATCATCTTGGGGAGCTCTAGTTCAAGGGCAGGCACCCCTTGGGAGGTATTTTCAAGGGAAGCCAAAGGAAACGAAAAGGACATCAAAAGGACCAGAAAAATCCAAACATTTTGAGCCTCTCGATTCGCTCCAGTTTGGCCGCTCGGCCATGTGTGCAAATGCGCAAATGCGTCAGGCAGCGCGTGCGGCTACCCTTTCGGCCTCGGAAAAGGCCCCTTGCAGCTGCAAAAGTGGGGCACGAGCCTTGCCACCCCAAAGAAATCGGGCAGAAACTTCAGTGCAACCTTCAGGGCTCGTAAACTCGATCACAAAAAAAGGGCGCTCGTTCGTTTCGTGCCTCAAAGCTGATTTGAGACACGCCCCAATGCGAGATTAAAATGAGCAGAAGCTCGCAGATCCGTGCACTCCGTCTTTTCACTACTTGCCTTCTTCCACTGCCTTGCTCAGGACGGTCTCCACCTCAGCTTGTCCCTTTCAAGAGACCTTTCAGGGATGGGTTTTGGAGGTATGGCACTGGGGGATAACTACCCCACTGACATGAAATCACCAGAGGAGGTCCTTTGAAGAGGAAGTGTCTCTTCCAGCCGCCCTCCCGCAAACTGGTTGGGACAGATACATGCCCAACCCAAAAACATCACCAAACATCTTGAGGAGTTTTGTTTCCCTTACACTGGACCAAAAAAACGAAAGCCGAAGGGGAAGAATGGCTATGGCTCAAAACCCGAATCGTATTTCCAGTGAACATCCCAATCCCCTCTAAAATCCCGACTAAAATGGGTGGTGAATTCACCGAAAACGCCGGCAAGTAGCCTTCCAGCCCGACCGCACCCGCAAGAACCGAGGGCAAGCCTTCCACTCGACCCCTCGCCTGCGGGCCGACGGCCTTCACCACGTCCGCGCCCGCGTGGCGCACGGCGTGCGACCTTCGGACGGTCCGCATGGCTCAACTCAGCAAGGTCCGAAACTTCGAATCCCCCAGCTACCGAATGGGGCAAGGAACTCAGTAGTAAGTGGTTCCTAACCCTGGTGTTACCATGTTTCTTTTGTTGAGCCCCCTAAGTGGGTTATGTCTATCCGGGAATCCCTTTGAAAAGAAAATGGTCCAAACCGGGACCCCCCCGAACGTCAGGTTCTGTGTTGATTGGTGGAGGGTACCCTCTGGCTTCACCCAAGAACCTCCCCTCAAACCCAAGAAAAGTAGGTAAGCACACACTCCCACGTGCAGCAGAAAACATCACCCCTACCAATGGAAGATGACCATGGGGCACAGAAGGTGAGGTTCTGCGGCACCGAAAAGGGAAACAGAGCAGGATCCCTGTCGCACGCTCAGGCCGGATATAGTACAAAATGGGCCTGCGTCCATACCTCCAAAACCCATCCGACGTCCCTTCAAAACCTAAGCAGGGTGCCAACCCTTACATCTACTGAGCTTAAGAACCCCTATATAGGGTATGAAAGGGGTATATATCCCAATAGTATAGGGCCCCCTCCCCAATCTCAATAGGGGCTCATAAGGCCGATTAGGGGCTGATAGGGTTCCTTGGTGCTTTTTGTGGGGCCCTCTTTTCGCAGAAATTTCATGGGATATGCAGCGCGAAAAAAGCCGGCCACTGTAAAAAAGGAGACATATTCTGCGTTCCCTTCGGCGTGGAAACCATCACCTAAGCCAAGGCACTCGATGTACTGCTCCACAACGAACGGCGATGCATAGACCTGGCCACGGCCGTCGTGGCAAAACAAATAATTACACGCCCTGAGGAAAAACACCAACCACAGCGTCACTTGAACATCCGGATATCAAACTATGCAGTATGCAACATCTATAAAAAGCGACAGATTGGAACTCGGGGAGGCTTCTCGTGTGGTGACAGATTTCGCTGAGGGCTCCTTGCCACAAGCCGAAGCTTGGAATGGCACTTTTATGTGAATATGCATTTATGTAAGTTGTTTGTGTATGTATGTGTTTATCTATTTGCTTATTGATGCATTGGTTTAACTCATATATATATATATATATATGAACTTGTCTATCTATGCACGTAGTTGCTTGTTTATGTATGTGTGTTTAATGAATTGATCTGTCTGTTCACATATTTTCTTGTTTATGTTTATTTATTCATTTGAACAGTTAGTGGTGCATTCATTTCATCATTTCTTGGTTTGTTCGCTCATGAATTGCTGTATCCATCTATGTACGTACTCATTCATGTATTTGTCTATGTATCTCTTTTTCTATGCAGTTTCCCACTTCAATACATCCATCATTTGCCCACTAACCGTTTTCCTCCAAACTACTTCAGCTGGGAAGCTCGCCCCCCCCCCCCCCCCCCCAAGCCAAAAGGAACAACAACAGCACCTGATCTCGTCCCCACAGTAGCCTGGTGTTATCCAGATATGTTTTGGGGATTCCACCATCAGGCCAAGGTGAACCAACTAACTTCTAACTTGGTGGTCTGTTGATCCCCCGGGACCATGCGACTATTCGGTTGAGTTTGGATATCCGCTTTACACCCCCTTCGCCATCGACCCGAGCGAGCCTTTTGCGAACCCGCCAATCCTAATGACACTTTCTGGGGTGGCGGCTGGCAAAAATCCCATCCCCATTTGAAGGCATTCAATGTCACCAGGGCCAAGCGAACAGGGCCGGACCCTCCTTGACCAGCGTTCACGTATGGCAAAAAGGTGTCCCCCACGATAGGTTTGGATTGCGCTTCACTGTGGCTTCCATTAAAGCCAACCCATTCCTTGAAGAAACGCGCAAGTAGTTGGTCAAAAGCCCAGCTGAAGTTCTCTGGCCGAAGCTTTCAAAACTCCTCGCAATGGTCCACGGCCATGGAGTTTTTAGGCCTTACAATGGTCGAAATCTCAGGCGTCCATGACCATTTTTAGGGGCAAGGCACTTAGTGGTTGGTGACCCTGGCCACTCACAGAGAAGGGACTTACATGCATGTGAGTCAGAATCAGAACGTGGTATTTAAAAAAAATGGTCTACCCAGCATGTAAAGAATTCAACAGGCGGCGAAGGCACCCATAAAAAAGGCGAGGGGATTGTCCCTTAGCCTTCAATTCTCCGGGCTTTGACTCATGTGGGTTCTTTCCCAGCTTACTAACCACTTGCCTGCCGTTCTGTTGAGAAAAACAAAGAACTCCGGACCCGGCCTTGGTCACAAAGGTGGCGATCTTCGTCGCAAAGTTGTCCTCCTAAAGCGTTGTTTGTTTCTACTTCTTCCTCTTCGTTCTTTTCTTTTTTTTTTTTGGGGGGGGGGGGAGTTGGGGGGTTTTGGGGTTGGGAAAGGCACCTTGGATCGTAGCTTGATGTGGCTGTCTTTTTTGAGGCCATGGTTTTGTTTGAGGGCACCTCTCTTTTGGTGGTGTAAACGGGAAACTGAAGGGACAACCGCCATTGTTTTGTGGGTTCCCTAAAAAATGACAGACCCACATAGCTCATAACCATGGGTGCAAGTGGGAAGGGCTGGTTGATCTACCGTGGTTACCACCTACGTAGGATGAACATTCCCCCAAACCTTAGCTTGAAGCCCGCCTTGTAGATGTGAGCCATGACGGTGCCTGAGGCCTTGTCGTAGACATGGTGCACGTAGCTCACCTCCGTGCCATGGTTCCGCAATTCACTTGGGTGGATCTTTTTTAGGAGACCCCACCATGGTGGATTTCCTTTTCGTTTCCCTTTGCACCAACCTGAAACATAGAAAAAGGGCACGGCACGGCACGGCACGGCACGGCACGGCACGGCACGGCACGGCACGGCACGGCACGGCACGGCACCGCACCGCACCGCACCGCACCGCACCGCACCGCACCGCACGCACCCACCCACCCATTCACCCACGCACGCACCCACGCACGCACGCGCGCGCGCACGCACGCACGCACCCACCCACCCACCCACGCACGCACGCATGCACGCACCCACCCACCCACCCACGCACGCACGCACGCGCGCGCGCACACGCGCCCGCGCGCACACGCGCACGCGCGCACACACACACAGACTACCCCCAACCATACCGATGGTCTATCTCAGTATTCCCTGAAGGATGGTGTGGTTCTCAACAGCCCAGTGGCTTCTGAAAAAAAACTCGCAGGGAAACCCTTCCCAACGAGGGAGGAATCCATCGGTTGCACCTCCGGTTTCAGAGGTGCCTTTGGCCCGGGTGTGGAGCCACTTCCCTCGGCGCGGGTGCCTTGTGCTGGCCGTTGCCTTCTGGGTCGGTGACCTCCTGCGATGTTGTTTGTCCCGTTGGATGGGCCAAGAAAGCTGGCAGAACCGCTTTTTGTCTGGCCACTTACAATGGTCCGGCCATTCGAAAGGTAAGATCCAGAACTCAGGGACTGAGAAAATGGGCGGTGTCGCCCTTGAAAGATCAACCAAAAGCGGTCCGCCATTTTGAGAATCTCTGATGGGGGGTTCATGATAGCCCCCCTCATCATAACCCCCCCCCCCTCCCATCATCCCCCGCTCCTTCATCATCAGGCACCCCCCCGCTTTCATCATCAACTCCACTTCATCATTGAAGGACGCCAACGTGAAACCAACCACTGCCACTGGGAGAGGTTCAACTTGTTTTTGACACACTCCCATACGTCAAGTTGCCGCGTTCCCGGCTCCCTTGTCTGGGTTCGAGGAAGATTTGGTGCCGCCGTCGGTCCAAAACGGGGAGCCTAGTTCTGGCAAGCTGAGAAATGATTTCAAAAGCACCGCCTTCAGACGACGGAGCCAATCACACGGGGGGGGTTTCCCAACCAACTGTTGCAGCTTACCACTCTTCACAGAACCTCCTTTCGGCTTCCCTTGCAAATGGGCTGGTTGTTTAAACATATGCTGCCTGGCTGTAACCCAGCTACCCAAACCCTTTCGGTGCCCGCTGAGTCTTTATGGAGCTTTGATAGTCCGAACCTGGTCCGTGAGCCCTCCTTTACCTTGAAGTTGTCGCCGTTGTCCTCCAGAACCACGAACTCAACCTCCGCATTTTGGGCTTGGACGGCCAAGGACCAAAGCGTTCCAGCTCTTTTGACATGTCCGTGAGTGTTCACCTTCCAATCCGGATCCTTCCTTCAATGCCACAAGCCTTGGTGTGTGTGAGCGGGGGTTACAGCAGGGGTCACAGGGGTCCGAACCATGCAATGGAAATGCGGGACTGGGCCGTGCAAAGCCGAGCGCGCGGCATGCGTCACTGCCTTGGAACTTTGCAGAGCCACTCGGATGTTCAACCAACTTAGGGTAGAACCATGGCAACGTAGGGTAGAACCTTGGTAAGTGGGGCAACTGGGGTTCGTCCCTTTACCATGATCATGAACCACTTTCCTGACGTCGCTGGAGCACCCAGGCAGCCTGTACGCGTTTGGAGTACGCTGACAACAAGATCTCCCTGCATAAATCGAGGCGAACTGTCAGAAACTCCAGAACTTTGTTGCCTGACTGATTACATCTCCTTTACTTACCTAAAGGGAAATGTGCCAACTTTCAGCCTGCAGTATTTCGGACTGTGTTGGATGATCTCCCGGGGTGTAAGAGGGTGAGCCTTGTGCCGCCCGCTCACATCTTGTGTGCATGGGTTGGGCTCTAGAAATGTCACCAGTGCTTCCCACGTGGACAATGCCAAGTGTCCAAGTGCCAAGTGAAGAACCCCATCCCCGCCAAAAGGAGCTTTGCCTAATTCTGATGAATCCACTTCGCCTGAAGCAAAAAATAAGCTCAGGTGATATCCCCAACAGCATGCGGTGCTCTTTTTAGTGCTCTCTCCACCGCAGCCCTCGCAGAGCCTCATGGAACCCTCGCAAAACCTCGTCGAACCCTGGTGCAACCCTCGTGGAACCTTACCTCAGCACCACCCCGAGCCTATATTTGCTCACGACCAAATGGCCTTGCCCAACAGAATACCAAGTCCTGTACGAAGTGAACATCGCCCAAAACCCATTGATGTTTGGTTCTACCAAGAAGGTTGTCAAAATTCATATATGGGTTTACTACAATACCCTGTGAACCAAGCAGTGGCCAAGAGGCATCAGTCTGGTACTTTTGGCCCCGCCCTCATCTTCACCCAAACCTACCTCCTGAAACCCTCCCCAGCTTAAAAGGGGGGGGGGCCTTTTGGACCTCACGGGTAAGGCTGTGATTCCCCAAAGCGGCAGGGCACCTGGGGCCCGTACCCCCTTGCCCTTCTTGGCCCCGTCAATGGCCTGTTCCATGAACTTCTCCACGCCTCGGCGCAGACGCGAGCACGCGCTGTAGGACAACTCTCCCAACCCTTGCCAAGAAGTTTGCGGGCTTGCTTAAGACAACTCTCTTCCTGGTTGAAAGGGGCCTGCGCACGTCGTGTGTTGGTGGCTCACCTGAGCGCGTTGCTGGATATGAACGCATCCAAAGGCGCTGTCTGCGCACAGAGCTTGCCTATGGGGCATTGCAGGCCGCTGGGACAGTTGCCGGGGGTCGCAGGTGCATTGCATCTCATGTCTCGCACTATTTGTCACTAGCTCCCTGTGTCAGGACTGACTTGTCTCAGAATGAGAGGACCCTCTGAAATGGCTGGCTTCCTTTTGGATTGCCTTTCAAACCAACCCTGAAAAGGTTTTCCTTGAAAAGAGGCGCGCCCAAATAGGGAGCTTCGAATGTGAAACGCCTTTACTCGGCCGGCTTCCTGCAAAAGGTTGCCAGAAAAACAGCACAGCCCAACATTTCCCCACCTGACCCATCTTTGGACGGCTGATCTGCCTGGCGGCAGGGGAATCCAAGAGACCAAGGAGCTGAGAGGGGCTGGGTGGTTTCCGATTTCAGCCCCAAATCTGTGCTCTTCCCCGAAGAGGGGGCTCCCAAAACGGTTTCCCTTTAAATCATCTCTAGACCGGGTGTCCCAGCTCCAAAGGAGCAACGATGAGGTCCCCGACAGGTACATGTTCATGGGGAATGATACCAACCCCATGCAACTCGCGTGTTTTTGTCAGCCGGACTTCCATCCTTCATCCCCCCCTGAAAATCCTGAAAATTGCTGTCTAAATACCCCTAAAATTTGTCTATGACCATCTCTACGAACCCACGTGGAAAAAAGTCATTTGCATGGCACAAATGGAAGCTGAATCCCATTTTAGCACTTCAGAGACAGGCCAACTGGCTCAAAGGCATAGTCCAACCATTGCTTTTCACAATCTTGCCGGTCAGTTTCCCTTTCAAAGCAGGGGGGTTCTTCGCTCGTTGCAACCAACCCTTCCAAACCATCCAAACCATCCAAACCTTCCAAACCTTCCAAACCTTCCAAACCTTCCAAACCTTCCAAACCTTCCAAACCTTCCAAACCTTCCAAACCCCCCCCCACAAACCCCCCCACAAACCCCCCCACAAACCTCCCCCACAACCCCCCCCCCCCAAACACACCCCCCCAAACCCCCCCCCAAACCCCTCCCCCACCCCCCCAACCCCAACCGGGGGTGGGCCTTGACCTCGAACTCGGGGGGAGCATCCTGTCCTGCCAAATCCTTGAGGATTCCACCTGCGACGTTTGAGTCGAGCTGACTGTTTGCTCTTCTCTTTTTGTTGGGGGGGGGGGGTCAGGGGGGGCGGTTGACCGCTTTGTTTGCTTCATGTCATTCTTTGTTATCTTCCTTTTGTAGGAGCGACGGGGGGGGGGGGGGGGCGTGCTGGGCGGGCGTAAGCAGAGACAAAACAAGTGCCCCTCTGAACAGGTCAAAGTACAAGTCACCACAGCCGAAATCATAAAATGTTGAAGAAAGGGACCTTCAAACCTTCATGTGTGAAATTTGGTCGCAAAGCTCTCGCCTGTCAAGTATCCAGCGGAGAGTCGTCAAGCTTAGGGGAAGCTAGGCAGGTTCAGAGTAGGTTGGGGAGGAATCGGATAATGCTGACCCCCAGATGTAACTAGGCCCCGGCAGACAAGTGATCCAACTCCCCTCTCAAATTGGAAAATCGACCAGAGGTTTATATACTCACCACTGGCAAACTCAAGACTGAAGGGTCACCCTGTCAAAAATCAGGGCCCTTTTTGGTATCCCCTTTAAACGGGGCACAAGGCTGCAACGAAAAAGGAAAGAAAACACTCCTCCGCCCCGAAACTGCCAATGGCAGGCAGTTCGTTCTACCGGGTCGCTCAGAAAAAATAGACCTTCAAACAGCGGCAAACTGATAACTGGCCGCATGATTTTTACTAGCAGGACCAGCCCAAAAATAGTCCTTAGGCTAGGCCCTTTTCGCAGGTCAGCACCTTTGTGGATTCATTCGAGGGATTCCTTATATGTCTGCTTTGAGCATCACCCAACAGAAATACACTTCCAAATGTAAAGAAACAGGTGATGCTTACAGCAAGGAGCTAAAACAACTCGCAGACTGCCAAACCAACATCTCCAGACCGGCCTGTGACAGCATGCAGCCCTGCAGCAACCTGGCAAAAGAAATCGTGCATCCAAACCCCCGACGCATAGAGGTTGATTTTCTCAAAATGCTTGGAACTTCCCTTCACCTGAAGAAGGGGGTTCGTCGACGATTCTCATCTAGCCTTCTCCGCCCAATAAAAATGGGATTCCACTCCAATTTCGTGTTTAGCGGAAAGGGAATGCTGGAACTTGTGGATGGCTTTCAAACGGGAAACCAACAGCAAACCTACCAGCCGGATGGGGAGTCGAATTGGAAAAATCCATATGTGTGTCATAAGCAGGGCCCTCCACGCAAATGCCTGACTTGTAAGATCCCTTTCACCAAAAGGGCCCAAAGCCACGTTGCGATGAGTACTTGAGCAGTCCAAAACCCATTTTTCCAATCCCTGGCATGTGAGCAAACAAGGTTGTTTTTTTGCTGCCACTAACAGTGAACAGAACCCTTGTCAAGCTGCACGTGGGCATGGCTAAATGGCTCAAGAAGGCTACCCCTAAAAAATGGTTATAATAGGGGGTCTGGGGTAGGGTATTTACAAGTTGGGGCTTCAGGGTTCAGGGAAGAAATTAAACAAGCAACCCATTTTGTTCAAAACACAAATAGGGGGTTTGGGGAATTTTCCCAAAATTTCTCAACATTTTTACAATTTTTTCATTATGAAACAGTCTAAGATATTGACATTTTCAAGGTTCGGGTTTCAGACAATTTTAAGGCTTTCTGGGGGATACAAGTGTTTCTGTTATAAATGTTGATATAACAAGGATTGTTTTCACAACGCGACTTCGCTCCTCGCAGGTCGCTCATCCTGAACTTTATGGTCGTTGCTGTCGACTTCAAGGGCGGTTCTTGGGTTGGGTGGGTCTGTGTGTAGCGTGTGTTTCTTTCTTTTTATGTGCTCATCTTGTTCGTCATCAACAAAAGGTGCGCCTTGCTTGTTTATGCAGTCAATATTGTCTCACTGTGCGCTTTGCATGTTGTGAAAGATGTTCCAACAGACCTGTCAGCTCAATAGCAAGATTGAAAGTGTAGCAGTGTGCCGCGCTCGTGTGCTCCAAAATGGCACCAAAGATGGGATACAATACCATCAACGAGGATGCTGTCGATGCCGAGACAGAGGCGTTGATTGTCCGCTTGATTGCGATGGAACTTGATGAGATACCAACTTCACTGTCAGGGAGTTCAACCGAGACGCTGGTTGAGGTTAATGACAGGATGAAGCAACAAGCGGCGAACATCATTGCACACCAGAAGTTGATTGAAAAAGAGGGCACAACCCGCAACTCACAGAAGAAGGAAGAGAACAAGATGAAGGAGCACACACTTGTCTTCTCGATTACAGGCACAGGCTTCACTATGTCCTTGCAGGTTTCTTTCGGCAGCACTCTGTCGGAGGTCTACAAGGCCATCATTAAGGTCATTACCCGGAAGCTCGCAAAGTTCAACTTGAAGTTGACCAACTCCATGTTCAAGAAGCTCAATTTGTCCTTCGGCGGCAACACCATTGTTCGTCACCCTCGCACCCTGTTTGGAAGTGTGGTAAAGCACAATGACATGTCGCATGTCTTCAATGTCTCCTTCTCTGATGGCATTACCAACCAGCTCAACAACATCTACGAGAAGCACTTCGCAGCGGAGGAAATCGTCGTTGATGATGCCGCCGTTGATGACGATGATGATGAGGCTTCCGACGGAGAAAATGACTCCATCATTAGCAATGAGCCCAACTGATGAGAAGTGAGCAATAGGTTGAACTTGCCAATGTCTGGTCGCTGTACCCCCTCTCAAAGTATATGTTAATCTGAACAACCTCACAGCTGTGTTGATTGGGGAGGTTGCGACAAATGGCAGTTGCTTGGGTAGGGAGGAAACCGCTTTCACAAACAGATGCCAGTTGAAAAAGAGTCTCTTCAATATCCAATGTAATCACACTGTTGACTTCCATTGATGTGCTTTGTCTCACACAGCGTTTTGGCTGAACCTCGGTGTCCCTCTTTGCTGTTTGCTTCATCTTGTGGAATGGCTCGCCATCGTGGTGTAATCAACCGCTACTTCAAGAGCAAGGAGGCTGTGATGAAGGATGTGACGAAGTCTTCTTTGAAGAAGATGAAGGAGAGACACGCTGAACTACAACCACAAAATGAAACAATGACAATGCCAGCGCCTTTGTCATCAGCTTGTCAACCCATTATTGACCAACTTCAAAATGTTCGCTCTCATCTTGTTGAAGGTCGCAGTGTGGTTGAGGAGATCTTGAACTCTCTTGATGATAACCAACTTCAACGGGTCAAGAATGTCTTCAAGGGCAGGTCAGCATACAACGAAGACAAACTTTATGAGGTTGCCGCCATCGTTGTCAAGGAGTTTGAACAGGTGGATGAATGGCGGGAGTATCTGCTTGTGCTCAAATCTCAAATTTTGGAGGTCTTCATTGAGTGTTTCCTTCGTGAGTTCCATTCAGAACACGGGAACAATGTCAATTACAACATTGACGCTTTCAAGGGTCTCTTGGAAGAAATCAGCAGTTATAGGAGGCGATTGAGAGGTAGTGGTTCATTTGAACCAAATGAGCGTGAGGGTGCAAATTGTGCCCTTATGTAAGATTTAAAGAGCAATCTTGACCATTCACGGAAACCCGTGAAAAAAACACATTCATTCACGGAAACCCGTGAAATCATTTCACAGAAACCCGTGAAAAAAACACATTCATTCACAGAAATCCGTGAATGGTATTTTGTGGTTGCTCTAATTGGTGGGTTGTAGCATCCGATGCTTTTTCAACCCTACATTTAATCAAAGCCCTTTAAAAAGGGATTGCCGTCAATCTCAAAGAGATTAAACATGAAAAAGACCGATTGCACCTTTGATGTGTCCACCATCTTTTTTTTGGTGAAGGGTCATGAAAAGCATCTGTCGCCTGCCAGGTTGATGACGATGAGGACTTCTTCGGTGGTGGGCTCTCAGTGTGTTTATTTTTCAGGTGTTCACCCAAACTCGTTTTTTTTTTTTTTTTTTTTTTTTGGGGTTGTCCCTCAAACTCGTTTTTGGGGTGTCCTCCCAAACTCTTTTGGGGTTGTCCCTCAAACTCGTTTTTTGGGGTGTCCTCCCAAACTCTTTTGGGGTTGTCCCTCAAACTCGTTTTTGGGGTGTCCTCCCAAACTCTTTTGGGGTTGTCCCTCAAACTCGTTTTTGGGGTGTCCTCCCAAACTCTTTTCGGGTTGTTCCCTAAACCCTCACATCAACAACATCCATAACCTCAAACCCAGACCCACCCCCAAACCCGCCCCCCAAAAGGACTTAAAGAGAAAATACCTTATATAGTATAGAGAAATGGCAGGGGAATACAGCACGGGTTCAGTAATTGAATATTTAATATCCAATAATGAAGGTCAAATAAAAACAGGGAAGAATAACAAACCATTGAAAAAACTAATCATCAACAACAAAGAATACTATTACAACAAAGACAAACCATTATCCTCATCACTTCAAAACAAACTCAATCAAGTCAGCAACACACAAGGTTTCAAACGATTTCATCTTCTAAAAAAAGCATCAAACACAATGAGAGGCATTAAAACAATCCAGAAATACAGATTAAAAATAGGAGCAAAAACATCAGAGACATTTTCAGCATTGAAAGGGTATGCCAACACATATTCAATATCCAACATACCATTCAAGGGATATAAAGGACTAACATATCTTGTATGGCAAGAAAAGAAATTAACCGATTTTTTACAACAAGCAAAATCAATGAAACTACTGATTGATGTTGAGGATATTTTTGATAAACTTAGACAGCAAGAAGAGGATGATGGAGAAGATGAACCAACTGAGGAAAATATACAAATAAAACAAAATATGAGGAGTAGGAGATACAACATTCTAAATGTAGGAGACTTAAAAAAAGCATTGGAAAATATACCTAAAGATATTGAACTACAAATTGAAAACTCACCTTTGAAACATTCAGGATTGAAGATTAATAAGATTAACAAAATCACAATCCACTACGACAAATACAACCCGAACAGAGCAGGTAAATATATGGAACTACCAGAATGGATTTCAAAGAAAAAAGCATGTATCAACATTCAAAATGATGATGAATTGTGTTTTAAATATTGTGTTTTATGTAAATTTTATGAAGTCTTCAAGAAAGACCATCCACAACATATGAGACACTACAAGAAATTAATAACTACTGAAAGTCTAATTAAATGGGATGGTGTGAATTTTCCAGCATCCAACGATGACATTGACACATTTGAAACAATTAACCAAAATTCTATATCAGTTAATGTTTATGTTGAAGATGAGAACCAATCCATCAGAGCAGACAGAATAACGAAGATTGAAAGACCATCTTGTCATATCAATCTATTACGAATTGAAAAAGATGATAATGAACATTATGTTTTAATAAAAGATTATAATAGATTAATGGGTAGTCAAGTTAATAAATACAAAGGAAAAACTTTTTGTTGCAGATACTGCCAGCACGGTTTTACAACAGAAAAACTTTTAAATTCTCACTTAATAAAAGGTTGTATGGCAAATGACATTCAACAAACAAAAATGCCAGAAGAAGGAACATGAATGAAGTTTGAAAAGCATTTTAAGAAACTGAAAGCACCATTTGTTATTTACGGTGATTTTGAATGTTTAACAACAGAAACATCAGAAGGCATCAAAGGGACTTATCAGAACCATAAACCCAGCGGTTATATGCTTAACCTTGTTAATGCTTATAGTGGAGAAATGAAACCATTTTTATATAGAGGCGAAGATTGTATGGATAAATTTTGTGATACATTAAACAATATTAGAGACGATGTAATGAAACAAATGAAAAATCCAAAAGATATGATTATGTCAGATTTAGATGAAATTAAACATTTAGAAGCTAAAAAGTGTTTCTTATGCAATGGCGCTTTTGACAACAGAGTAGAAGCGAAAAAGAAAGTTGCTGACCATTGCCACTTTACTGGATTATACAGAGGAGCGGCA